TGAATGAATGAATGAATGAATAGCTGGATGAAAGGGCAACACAAGTTAGCCATGGGGATTAATTCCTCAATTCACCTGTGACATCTCTCCTCTCCTCTCATTGGGAAAACAGCTTTGTATTAGTGTTTGTAAATAACCTTTCTCAGGTTTAAGACAAGACCATTCACGTTTTTTCCCTTGAAAATTAACTTTGTTCTAAAGCAGTAGTTTTTAAACTTTAGTGTGCATGGGCTACCCAGTTAGCTCAGATGGTTAGAGCACCGGCCTTATAACACCTAGGTTAGGGGTTCGGATCCCCATACTGGCCAGCTGCATCCCCCATCCCCCCCAAAAGGAACTTTAGTGCGCATGTGAATCACATGAAGAACTTAAGATCTGTGGATCCCATCCCCAGAAAGAGTGATTTAGTGGGTCAGGGGTAGGGTCCAGGAAACTGTAGTTTTTAAGAAGACCCTCAGGGGGTTTGGTTATAGGTTGCTCCTAGGTCACATTTTGAGAAACACTGGTGAAAAGAAATAGATTAGTATAGTTCCTGCAATTTTAGTTATATGTACACCTCAAAAATAACCTTGTCCTCTTTTCAAATATTTTCTACCTCAATCTACCAATGACTTTTGGAATCACTCTCTTCCTCCCAACCTCTGATGTCTGTCAGGAGCCCTGGAAGATAAGTTACTGCAGATATTAGTAACATTGTAGGTAGAATTGTTATTATTTATTGAACACCTACTCTCTGCCAGGCACTATGTGAAATGCTTTACAAATGTTATTTCACCTAATTCTCACAAAAACCTGGAACAGTAGGTGGTATTATGCATATTTTACAGATGAGAAAAGTCCTCAGAGAGGTTATAAAACTTGTCACGTTCACATAACATACAAGATGGACTTGGGATCCAAATTAAAGTTAAAGACATTGCTTTTTCAACTACACAACCCCTTTTATTATTGTATTATTATTAATTATATTAATGATTTCTATTATTTCTGTGAGGTCATGCCCCAAGGAAACATCTTGGTCAACTTTTCACTTCAGGACATGGGGCCTTTATGGACTTTAATCCATCCATTCATTCATTTAATCACACTTTATTGAGCAACTGTTATGTGCCAGAAATTGTACCAGGCATAATGGACTCAAAGGTGAATAAGGTCTCTACCATTATGGAACTTACATGGACACAGACACGTGTACAGGCAATTATAATACAGAATGATAAGTGCTGTCATTCTCTTAACCTAGCAATTTAATATGTTCCTCAATAAAACCACGAACAAGATAGTTTCTGGAACAGTGAGACTTCTGTTTTTACATCATAGGCTTTTTTTTTTTTTTTTCTGGCAGCTGGCTGGTACAGGGATCTAACCCCGGAACTTGGTGTTATCAGCACCACTCTCTAACCAACTGAGCTAACCAGCCAGCCTCTTGCATTACCTTTTTTTTTAAAGATGACCGGTAAGGGGATCTTAACCCTTGACTTGGTGTTGTCAGCATCACGCTCTCCCAAGTGAGCAAACCGGCCATCCCTATATAGTGAGCTCTCCCAAGTGAGCCACGGGCTGGCCCCTTGCATTACCTATTTTTAAAATGTTTTTATTAACAGCATTCTTTATGTCAGGGAAACCAAAGTTTAGCTCTAGCATAGAGTAAGTATGAAGGGTATGAAGTGTTATGAGGCTGGAGAGATCAGAAGGGTCAGGTCATAAAGGGCCATAACTGCCATGTTAAAGATGTAGGCTTATAACACCAAGGTCAACAGTTTGGATTCCTGTACCAGCCAGCCACTGAAAAAAAAAAAAAAAGTAGGCTTTACAGTATGAATAATGGAGAACTATTGTAGGTTGTTAAGCAGGGGATTGATACAATCAGATTTGCATTTTAGAGAGATCACTTGTAGCTACTAAGTATTGAATAGATCTATAAGGGATAAAACTAAAACTGGGGAAATGAGACTTCTACCAGCTGAGAGATTATGGTGACCTGACTAGTGGTGAATGGTGATGGAGAGGTGGATAGATTTGAGAGATATTTAGTAGTTACAGTCTTGTAGCTTGATTGGATGTTGGAGGTGAGGGAGATTTCTAGAATGAAGTCTAGATGGAGAAGTGGTGGTAATAGGGGAGGAAAGAGCTGGATTGGGGGAATGGGGATAGGGAGGTTAAAAGTTCACGTTGACTGGCTTCTGTATGTCCAACTGGAAATGCCTAATAGACAGGCTTAAAATCCTGGCACTTGGAAGAGGTATATGGTTGGAAATAACGGATTTGGGATTCATCAGCATAGAGATGGTAACTGATACCCTGTGAGTAGTTGAGATCACCCAGGGAGAGCACATGGAATGAGACAGGGTGAAGTAGGAAAAAAAAAAAAAAAAAAGCTTCCCTGAGAAGGGTCCAGAGAAGAAAAGGAAAATCTGGAGAGTGATGGAGAGAAGTCAAGGGAAAAGTTTTTCAGTGAGTGAGTAGTCCTCAATACCAAAGGCTAGGGGTGGTCAAGATGAGAATGAAATTCGTCCATTTGATTTAAATACAGGGGGGTTACTGAAGATCATGGGAAGAATCGTGGAGTGAAGGGATGAGGTTAAGCGCAGATGAAGGGGAAGCAGGTCTTGAGTGGAGACAACTCGTTTCAAGTTTGGTTAAGACGGAGAGCAGAGTGCAGCAGCTGGGGAAAGACGGGATTTTTTAAAAAAGGATCAGCTGAGCATGTCTCAAATGCTGATGACAAAGAGCTAAAATTGAGGGAGATACGGAAGAGGTGAAAGAATCCAGTAATACAAGAAGTGAGGGATGAGACCCAGAGAACTGCTCGGCCTTAGATATGAGTGACGCCTCTTCCATAGTAACCCAAGGGAAAGGAAGCTGTCAGCTTCATAGTGGGAAGCTGGCAGATTCTAAAGGTTTGGCGCAGGGAAGTCAATGGAATTTCGGTTTGATGATTTCTATCTCCCTAAAATAGGCCTGGAGGAAGGGTCCGTGAGTCGAGGTTTGAGACAGCGTGGGTTTGAAAAGCCGCTTTGGAAAACCGGGGTGTGAGGGTATGTGCCGGGGGCAGGCGGCCTAGGCTGGTCCACACTGGGGTCTCGGCCGGGAGAGGCCGCGTCGAGCTTCGAGCCGGACGCCCTGGCGCGCTGCCATGGCAACAGATCCGCTGTGCGGGGCCCACGGCAACCCGTAAGTGAACAGGGCAGTGGCCTTTTAACGGACAGTTTGGGACATCAAGCGAGCAGGCGAGGTGGCGACCAGAGGTCGCCAAAATGAGACCACAGAGGAAGCGACAGCATGGCCTGAAGCTTCGTGAAATCTGCACGTAACGCCACCGTCACATAGCGCGACCGAGAGTGGTAAACGTCATCGTTCCGCGACGCGACGGAGACGCGGTAATATGACGCGCCCCCCGGAAGGGTCCCCCTAGATCGAGCGGCGAAAGTGGCAGCCGGTGGTGGCTCCTGGGGCCATATCCCGCGAGGTCGCCCCCGAACTATTTCTCTGCGTGTCCTCTGGATCTTCCCTGAGTCTCCCAGAGCCGCGTGGTGAGGAGAAGTCTCCATCATCATGGGGGGCGGAGACCTGGTAAGTGGAGCGAGGCCGGACACCGACGGGCTGGGGACGGAAACTGGCTGGGGGTGGGTAACCATAGCAATGCAGCCTTGCCTGGAGGGAGGCGAGAGGGGGTCGTAGCCCTGGAGAGGGGACGGAGGGACGGGCTGAGACTTGGGACAGTGTGCGAGGTGTGTCTGAATGGTGGCAGGTGGTGTTTGTGTGTTTGGTGACGTGGGCTCTACAGGCTGGAAATTATGGGAAGACTGAGGACTGGGCGGTTGGAACCATGGCTAGGAAAGGAGGCAGATATTGAGGACGTGTCACGAAGGCTTTGCTTTGTGTATCTTGTCTTGGAACACATCTTCTTTCCTTAGCTTGGCGTTCAGAGTCGTGTCCTGAGCTGTCGTAGGGGTGGTTTGTGCCTCATTCTCCCCACCCCTGAGCCATGTCCTGGGGTTCATTTTAAATGTGAAGGGAGCTTCATGTCCACCTTTCTGACTTCCATTCTTCCTTCAGTGCTGCATTCTGATCTGTAGTGACAGAACTTTCTTCTGATTTCAGAGCACTTAATATAAGTTATGTGACAATTTCTCTTAAACTGTATAGTTAGTTTGTACGGGCTGAGGCCTCAAACAGGGCACATGTACCCACAAGAACGTGGTGCAAGGTCAGAAAAATGTTCACCTCCTGAAAATGGTGCAAATTGAATCAGCAAATAGATTTGCTTAGCCACCCGTCCGGTAACACTATTCGAGTTTGTCAGGTGTTCTTAAAGTGAGTTCCAAGGGCCAGCCCGTGGCGCGCTTGGGAGAGTGCGGCGCTGGGAGCGCAGCGACGCTCCCGCCGCAGGTTCAGATCCTATATAGGAAAAAGACAAAAATATATATATATATATATTAAATAGTATAAGTAATTTAGAGACGATTTAACGTGTATGGCAGGATGTTTGTAGGTTATATGCAAATAATAGGCCATTTTATATCACAGATTTAAGCATCCATGGATTTTGGTACCCACAGAGGTCCTGGAACCAATCCTCTATGGATACTGAGGGATGACTGTCTATACCTTCCCCCATCNGTTTGTGTGTTTGGTGACGTGGGCTCTACAGGCTGGAAATTATGGGAAGACTGAGGACTGGCCGCAGGTTCAGATCCTATATAGGAAAAAGACAAAAATATATATATATATATTAAATAGTATAAGTAATTTAGAGACGATTTAACGTGTATGGCAGGATGTTTGTAGGTTATATGCAAATACTAGGCCATTTTATATCACAGATTTAAGCATCCATGGATTTTGGTACCCACGGAGGTCCTGGAACCAATCCTCTATGGATACTGAGGGATGACTGTCTATACCTTCCCCCATCTCTGCCCCATTTCTCCTGTCTTGCCATCACTAACTCCCATTTAGCCATGGCCAGTAGAAATATGACACATTTGTACATATTTAAGGGTGAAACTGTTTGCAGGGAACTCCGGAAGGACCTGTTCTATCCTGAAGCTTTATGTACTTGAACACCTGCCCCAGATGTGTGAGAGATTATTGGATGCAAACCTTGTCATTGTTAAAGATGTTGTGCCCTTACACACCTGCTTGGCATGAATTGTGTATGGAGGAGTGGGTGAGGCCAGGTCAGTTATACCCTCGACTCACGCACTCTCCAGATTATTTTCTCCCTCCTTTCATTTACCACAGAATCTGAAGAAGAGCTGGCACCCACAGACCCTCCGCAATGTGGAGAAAGTGTGGAAGGCTGAGCAGAAGCATGAGGCTGAGCGCAAGAAGATTGAGGAGCTTCAGCGGGAGCTGCGAGAGGAGAGGGCCCGGGAAGAGATGCAGCGCTATGCGGAGGATGTCGGGGCTGTCAAGTAAGTGGGTGGCTGGGGGTGTCTTGGCGTGTAGGGAATTGCAGGACTGGCCTGCAGGTGCATCGTCCAGGTGTTTCATAACAGCTGAGTGGTTAAGAGGGTGGGTTCTGGAGTCCGGCTGATCTGGATTCTAAGGTTGGCTTTGCATGTACTAGCTGTGTAACTGCAAGCATGTTTGGGAGACTTCGTTACTCCAGTAGAAACAGGGGAGTGATAATATGCAACTCCTTAAGGTTTGTTGAGCATCAAATGCGATCATATGTAAGGACTTAGCGTAGGCCAAGCTCATGGTAGATGGTTCCCTCTACCCTGCCTCTCAGTATGTGTCGAGGCCTCAGACCTACTGTTGTTTGTTAATGTATTGCGGGCTTATTGTAGGGGGTCAGTGAGCTCCCATTGGAGGAGGTGGATGGTGTGTCTGTCAATAAACGCCATGCAACTATGGACAGTACCACGCGATTTTACCCTGCTTCAGCTTCCTCTTGAGTAACACAGTATAGGAGTTGCAGATAAATAGGCAGTGCATTCCTAAGTCAGAATGAAATAAAAACTACAGATAGACTAAAATTGAGTAATCTGTATTGTCATCATTCCTCTTGTTATGTCCTTGTGGGCAAGGCTTCAGGGTGGTGTGTGGCACATTTCCCGCATTGGATATGGGGGCCTTTCCTTAATCATTTCATAGCATTCAGGGTTCTTTGTGTGTTGTGAGACTTACTTTCAATTTATGGAAATGGCGTTATGGAACTTAAGCAGGAGAAAAATCACATTCTATCAGGAAAATGGATTGGGGAGAAGGCCATTCTGCCTTACGTATGAAATTTGGAATATTTCAAAGTTGGTGGAGTTTTAGAATTTTCCAATATGGCACAATACATTTAGGGCATTAATATATAAAATGGAATAAAAGAATGAGATTTTATGGGTTTTTTGTTTTTAACCATAGACAGACGTTAAATTATTTTACTTTATGGGCCGGCCTGTGGCTCACTCGGGAGAGTGTGGTGCTGATAACACCAAGGCCATGGGT